CGCCCGACGCGCTCTCGGAGAACACGCAGACCGACGCCATCGGCCTGTTGGGCAACGTCGTCGGCGGCGCCCTGAGCAGCGGCATGGACGCGGGCGCCGCGGGCAGCAGCGCGACGGCCCTCTCCGGCGTCCTCGACGCGTCGCTCTTCAAGAAGAACGACACGGCCGCGTCCGTCGCCAACGACATGACGGCCGTCGTCGCGTCGCTGTCCGCGGCCATGATCGCCAACGCCTTCGGGGGCCAGGCCAAGTCCATCGTGTCGCCGAATTTGGAGGTGTCGTCCTTCCGCACGGACTGCGGCACGCGGTCCGACGCGTACGCGCTGTCGTCCGGCGCCGCGGTCGCGATGCCCGACGACGCCATGGACGCCGCGGGCGGCGGCGGCGCCTGCGCGGCCAACGGCGGCGGCGGCCGGCGGCGCCTCGAGGCCGCGGCGGAGAACGTCGACGTCCGCGTGTCGCAGATGAAGAACGTCTACGAGTCCACGGGCGCGGCCGGCGACGTCAACTCGGACCTCGTCCAGGTCGAGCTCGGCTCCGACGGCGGCACGGCGGCGATCAACGGGCTCAGCGACCCCATCGTGCTCGTGATCCAGTTCGAGGCCTACGACGAGATGCTCGACACGCGCTTCGACAACTCGAAATTTATGAGGCAAGGCACGTGCTACGATATGGACGACTTCCTGACGTGGGACGACTGCCCGGGCAACCCGGCGACCTACAACTGCTCGCAGCCCCAGTACGTTACCTTCAAGAATGGCGCCAACGCCACGCTCTACCCGCCGCCCGTCGGGCACGGGCCGCTCAACATCTCGGTGTCGTGCCCGGGGAAGCTCCCCGAGTGCACCTTCTGGGACGAGAACCGCTCGAGGTGGAGCGGCGACAACTGCACGGTCCGAAACTACACGGCCTACAACGTGACCTGCGCCTGCACGCACCTGACGGACTTCGCGGGCGCGACGAAGGACGTCGGGTCGACGGCGTCCGCCGTCGTGGCCACGGGCGCGAACATGAACCTGGCCCAGCTCATGGAGGCGCTCGTCGTGCTCATCACCCTCTTGGCGACGCTGGGCGTCTTCGTCTTCGCCTGCGTCAAGGGCCGCCAGCTCGACAAGCAGGACTTCAACAACCGGGAGGAGCTGCGGCGCGAGGCGCTGCCGGACGCGTTCCTGAAAAAGGTCGTCGCGTCGCGCGAGACGGAGCACGTCGCGCTCAGCGCGGCGTTCAAGGCCAAGGCGCGGCGGCCCTGGATCATGGCGCGGAGCCCCTTCGCGGTCTACACGCGGTCCATCCGGCCCGTGCGGGGCTGGTGCAACACGGCGCTCTACAGCTTCGTCATGGCGATGCGCCGCGAGCACAAGATCCTGCAGATCTTCTATCTCCCCGATGGCACCTACACGCGCACGGAGCGCATCACCGTGCTCTGCGTGCTCGTCTTCGGCACGCTGGCCTGTAACGCGATCTTCCTGAGCGTGCTCTCGAAGATCCAGGTGCCGGGTTTGGGGACCTGCGACGCGAACGCGTGCCTCGGCAAGCCCCAGCCCTGCGTCGACTTCAAGGCCATGGTCGCCAAGGGCATCTTTTCCACCCTGTCGGCCTTCGGCAGCACGCTCGTCTACATTTTGTTCGCCTACGCGTTCGGCAAGACGGGCGACGCGATCTCGGACGTCGACCACTTTCTGGGCGTGGACCCCGCGAACCTCGACGACGAGGCCAAGGGCCGCGTGAAGCGGCGCAAGGCCGTGCTCACGGCCGTCGCGAACCTCGACGGCGCGAAGCACCGGCAGAAGCTCGTGGAGCGGCGCCTGGCCAAGGATTTGGAAACGATGTTCAAGTACCGCAAGGGCCAGGTCGGCACCGCGCGCCAGCTCCAGGCCGAGGACCGCATCGCCTTCACGGAGATCCACCGCGTGAAGCGCACCAAGGCCCAGATCCACGTCGACAAGATGCAGCTCGCGCTGCTCAAGGCGAAGAAGAAGTTCGACGTCTACGTGAAGAAGCAGGCGGACGCGCGGAAGGAGGAGAAGCGCAAGGAGCTCTTCGAGATGAAGGGCGCCTGGGCGCGCTTCAAGTACCGCAGGCAGAAGGACAAGCCCATGTACTCCCTGACCCTCGACGAGCAGGCGCTCTACGAGGCCGAGGAGGTCGAGCTCGCGCGCATGTCGTTCCTGCCGCGGACGCTTGTACCGCAAGTTCGTGTCGCCGATCAAGCGGGCCTTCCGCAAGGAGAAGAAGACCTGGCCGACGCACGTCAACTACCTCATCTACGCCCTCGCCGTCGCCTACATCCTCGGCTGCGCGGCCTACGTCTTCCTCTTTTCGGTGACGCTCAACAACTGCTCGCAGTGCGAACAGGACGAGGACAACGAGGTCTGCATCCCGCCGGCGGAGGAGGGCGACGACGAGCCCGCGGAGTGCACCTGCCCCGACACGCTCTACGACTACTGCGGCGGCGGCAACTCGAACGCCGCGTCCATGGCCTGGCTCGAGATGGCGCTCGCGTCCGTCGTCATCGCCCTCTTCATCAGCTCGTCGCTCGTCCTCTTCATGACCAAGGGCGTCGTCCCGACCATCGCCCGCGGCTGCACGGCCTGCGGCGCGAAGCCGCCCACGGAGGACCCGGATCCGAAGCGCGGGCTCGCGGGCCTCGTCGAGCGCGTGGACCACGAGGCCAAGGCGAAGCGGGGCATCAAGGTCCGGGGCTACGGCGACGACTCGACGACGGTCACCTTCGCCTCGCGGCGCTCGGACCTCCCCTCGGACTCGGACTCGGACTCGGACGCGTCGAGCGAGTGGCGCGACGAGGTCGCCAAGTCCACGAACATCTTCGCGTCGCTCTCCGGCGGCGTCTTCGGGCGCAAGAGCGTCGCGCGGCCGCGGCGTCGGTCGAACACCAAAATCTTCCCCGGCGCGGCGGAGGCCGTCCAGGAGACCAAAGAAGAAGAGAAGCGCGAGTCCGACGACGACACGCTGCACGAGGCGCCGCCCCACTTCCAGGCGCGGGACCCCTGGATCCAGCACGAGACGCTCGACCTCGACAACCTCCGCGTGAACCTGGGCGCGCAGGTGCCCGAGCCGGGCCTCGACCGCTGGCCGCGGCCGGGCGAGCGCGGCCTGACGGCGGACGGCTCGTCGACGCTCTCGGGCCGGCCCGCGACGTGGAAGTGCCCCTGCGGCGCCGTCGTGCCCGTGCCCGTGCGCCGCGACCACCTCCGCTACGACTGCCTGCCCTACCGCGACTCCTTCGAGGGCGCCGCGCGCAAGTGGCTCGCGGCGAACGACCCCTCGGACGCGAAGGCGCTCGTCGACTCCGTCGCGCGCGAGGGCCGCTGCGCGCCGGGCGAGGCGCTCTGCGCGCTGAGCGTCTGCCGCAAGGGCGGCGTCGCGATCCGCAAGCTCGCGAACCAGGACTACCGCGACGAGATGGTGCTCGCCGCCGAGGTCATCGACGCGAGCGACCTGCTCGGGCGCTGGGTCAAGGGCTCGCCCCTCAAGCGCCGGAAGCCCCCGAAGCTCAAGCCCGTCGTCCGCCGGCGGTCGTCGGTCAACGCGGGCATGCTCGGCGCGGACGCCAAGTACGAGGTCAAGGCCGCGCGCGGCGACCTCGGCGCGTCGAAGGTGCCCTTCGCGCGCAAGGTCGAGGAGAGCACGAAGCGAGCGCGCGGCGTCGTCGCGCCCGACGACGCCAAGGCGCCCTACCGCGTCGCGCCCGCGTGATACCGCAGAGGCGCCGCACGCACCCGGCGCCGCCGCACCACGAGAACCGCGGAGGCGCCTCTCTCGCGCGAGAAAGCCGCGGCGCGCGCCGCGGCACAAATTGACAAGACCCCACCCCCCCCCCCTCCGGCACCGCCGTCGCATCCGCCCGGGTTGGTCCTCGGGCCGCGGCGGCGGCGCCCCCCCCCCCCCCTGTGATGTGTAGGCTCGAAGTATCGCGCTATGTACAGGCCGAACCGCGCTCCTACGCGGGGACGACGGGCGAGAAGGCGACCGGCGGGAGCTTGGCGGGCTTCGCCTTGGAGAAGAATTTCCGCGTCGCCTTGTGCTGGGTCCTGCCCTTCATGGAGTAGCCCCGCGCGGCCGCGAGCTCCTCGGAGATGACCCTGCCGGTGACGTTGGCGTTGCGGTTCACGGACCGGTTCGCCGTCGCGCGCTGGTCCTCGACGAGCCGGTGGAGCCGCTTCATGGCGGCGTCGAACTCCTTGGAGACCGTGGCGTGCATGTGCTTGCGGTGGGCCAGGTCCGCGTCGAGGCGGTCGAGGCGCTCGCGCTTGATGTAGGCGATGCGCTCGTCGATCTGCGCGAGCTCGGCCGCGTCCCTGGCCATCTGCTCGCCGCGCCGGCTCCGCTCCTGGTGCATGCGCTCGGCGAGCTGGAACTGTTTTTGGACCTCGCGCTGGGCCATCATGCCGATGTCGACGCCGCGGGTCGGGTTCGCGCCCTCGTGGCGCGTGATGCTGCTCGCGTGCGACGCGTCGTCGTCGTCGCGCGCCGGCCGCCGCGGGGACGCGGGGGCGTCGGCGCCGGCGTCCTCCGGGAGGCCCCGCGGGCTCCGCGGGCTCGTCACGGCGGGCAGCGTCTTGCCGCCCCGGGCGCCGCCGGCCTTGTCGTGCTTCTTGCTCGCGCCCTGGCCGCGGGACCCGGGGTAGGGCGTCTCGTTCGTGTGCGCGGTGGCGATCGATTGGTCATCCATGGCTCCGCGATGCTCGGGGGTCGTCCGAGCCGCGGTCTCCGACGCGCGCTGTTGCGGCGGCCGACGGCCGAGAGGCTGGCGGTTTTTGGATGAGAGAGCTCTCCGCCCGGGGCTGCCTTTTGCAACGTCAATGAGCCGACGTTTGATCGAGCGCGTGCTATTATTCTGTTGGCCACAACTGGCAGCCATGTCCCGCAGCCACATGCTCCGGCGCGCGGGCCGGCACGTCGCCGTGGCGGCCTGCGGCGGCTCGGTGAGCCTCGCGTCCGACGGCTCGAGCTTCTACCGCATCGACAAGCAGCCGCTCGGCGAGGGGACCTTCGGCGCCGTGTTCAAGGCCACGGTCAAGGCCACGGGCGAGCAGGTCGCGCTGAAGAAGATCAAGGTGCGGTCCGCCGACGACGACGGCGGCGCGGGCCGCGAGGTCGCGGCGCTCAGCCGCGTGCGCGAGCGCGGCGACCACCCGAACGTCGCGGCGCTCCGGGGCGCGTGGACCGAGGGCGCGCCCGGGAGCGAGACGCACTGCCTCGCGGTCGAGCTCGTGGACGGCGGCGAGCTCTTCGATCATCTCGTGAACCACGGCGGCTTCAGCGAGCAGACGGCCGCGGATCTCTTCAAGGCGGTCTTCGGCGCCATCCAGTGGCTCCACGCGAGGGCGTCGTGCGTCCACTGCGACATCAAGCCCGAGAATTTCGTATTAAAGCGCAAGGGCCGGGACGGCACGGCGGCCGTGAAGCTCATCGACTTCGGCAGCGCGCTCCTCGACGGCGCGGCGCCGCCGCGGAAGGACGCGCTCCACCTCGGGACGACGGCCTACGAGGCGCCGGAATTGCTGGAGGCGGGCAGGAACAAGGACGACGCGGCCGCGGCGGCGTGCTGGACGGACCCGGCCGTCGACGTCTGGGCGCTCGGGGTCGTGCTGTTCGTGGCGCTCGTGGGCGCGCACCCCTTCGACTTGGACGGCGCGTACGAAAAAGATGCGGACCTCGCGGCGAACGTGCTGCGGTGCTGCCCGGGCGACGCGGCGCCGACGTGCCTCCGCGACGCGCGCGTCGTCGGGTTCCTGTCGCCGGCGGCGCTGGACCTGCTCGGGTCCATGCTCGCGCGGGACCCGCGGAAGCGGCCGAGCCTCGAGGAGTGCCTGAGCCACCCGTGGTTCCACGGCGCGGCGGGCGCGGAGGCGCTCACGGAGAGCAGCCGGCGCCTCGCGCGGTGGAAGCGGCTCCAGCAGAAGCTCGAGGCCGGCGTCCTGGCGAGCCTCGTGGCCCAGGCCGTCAAGGGCGGCGCGCCGGCGGCGTCGGGCGGCCTCGACGACCTCGTCGCGCGCGCGCTCCGCGTCGGCGACTCGCGCGACGCCGTCGCGGCCGCGCTCGAGTCCGCGGGCGACGCCGACCCGTCGCGGGACGCGTCGACGCTACTCGCGGGCGGCGCGGCGTCCGTGTCGAGCCTGCTGACGTCGCTGAAGCCGCGCGTGGAGCCGGACGGCGTCGTGCTCTTCCGCGAGGGCGAGGACGCGTCCGGCGACGACGCGTGCATGTACTTCATCGCCGGCGGCGCCGTCGACGTGGCCATCGGCGGCACGACGGTGGCGACGCTCCGGAGCGGCGACTTCGTGGGCGAGGGCGCGCTCTTCGACTCGTCGCACGCGCGGTCGGCGACGGTGACGTGCGTCGGCGCGACGTCGCTCGTGGGCATCAACGCGGCGGACCTGGCGAGCCTGAGCCTCGACGCGCGCGGCGCGGACCACGCGCTCCACGACGTCGCGCGAAAGCGGGCGCTGGAGGACGCCAAGGCGACGCTGGGCATGGCGTCGGCGACGCGGAGCGTGCGCTTCGCGCGGGGCGACGCCGCGTGCACCGAGGGCGAGTCGGGCAAGGGCGCGGCGCTCTTCTCCGTCGTCGAGGGCGCCTTCGAGGTCTTCAAGACGCACGGGCGCGCCGCGGCGCCGGGCGAGCTCGTGGGCCGGCTTGGCGCGGGCGACTTCTTCGGCGAGGCCGCGGTGCTGACGAACCAGCCGCGCAACGCGACGGTCGTCTGCGCGTCCGACGCCTGCGTCGTCCACGAGATCAAGAAGAAGGCGTTCCTCGCCTGCCTCCGCCGCAACAAGCAGGCGGACCACGCCGTCCGCGAGCTCAGCTCCGCGCGCGCCAAGTCCTAACGAGCTTTTTTGGTTTTGTGCTTCAAGCTTCCTACGTGCCGTTACTCCGGCGCGACGGCCCGCGACCCGGGCGCTGGCTCCGTGACGACGCGCTTGCAGAGCGGGCACTGGAGGAAGGGCGCGAGGCCGCTCTGCGTCGGCGACGAGAGCCAGCGGACGATGCAGTCCCGGTGGTAGAGGTGGCCGCAGCCGAGGCGCACGACGCGCTCCGGCGAGCTCGCGAAGAGCTCCATGCAGATGGCGCACTCGCCGTGGCTCACGAAGCGCGGCCCGGGCGTCGCGGGGATCTCCGCCGTCTCGGCGGTCCCGGGCCGCTCGGGCGACGGCGGCAGCGTCAGCGTCAGCATCTCGACCTCCGTCGCGTGCTCGGCGACGGCCGCGCGCGCCGTCGCGCGCAGCGACTCGGCGGAGGGCGTCACGGGCACCTTGGGCCTCCTCCGGCACGCGCCCGTCGTCTCTCGCGCGGCGTAGGCGACCAACGAGACGACGAAGACGCCGATGAAGACGAAGGCGGCGACATGGTGCGGCGGCGGGCCCTTCTTCTTCCCTCTGGCGTAGGGACCCCGCAGGCGGCGCGCCGCGCCGTCGAGGGCCGGCGCTGCGCCCGGGGCGCTGGCGGTGATCGTCGAGCCACAGAAGACGCTCCCGCAGCCGAACGCATGGGCCGCGCTGGCGACGAGGAGCAGGCCCCGCCAGGCGACGACCATGAGGAGGGCCGCGGACCCGCCGACGCCCGTTGCCCCCGAGGATCCCAGCGGCAGGACGCTGCCCGACTCGAGTCGGGTTTGCTGCTCGTACGAGCAGTGCATCACTTCTGCTTCAGCACCTCTTCAGCACCGACCGTTGCATCACGACTCGAACTTCGTGTTCCGCGTGATGTCGCTCGCCATGGCGCGACGCATCCTGGCGTTTCTCACGCTCGCGTCGACGCGCGCGATCCTCATGTCCAAGCCCGAGAGCCGCGTCAAGCCCTTGAAGCCCGCGACGACCGTCGCGGCGCCCCCGCACACGGCCGCGCCGCCCGCGGAGGAACGGGCCGGTCCCCTCTTCCCGCCGTCGTCGCGGCCGCGCACGGGGAGTCTGGACAGCGCGGGCCCGCTCTACCTCTCGCTGTCGGCGCTCGTGGGCCAGATCAAGGCCTGCCTGTCGCGGGAACCCGCCGCGCCCTACAGCGAGGCGATGATCGACGAGGTCCGGACGCTGCTCGCGCGGACGGAGCTGAACCCGCGGGAGTGGCAGGGCTTCCAGAAGCACGAGAAGGCGCGCTACACGCGGAACATCGTCGCCGTCGACGAGCGCTTCGTCGCGCTGCTCCTCTGCTGGGACGTCGGGCAGGTCAGCGCGATCCACGACCACGCCGGCTCCGCGTGCTGGGTCAAGCTGCTGAGCGGGGCCCTCGAGGAGCAGCGCTACGAGCCGGAGTTCAGGGACGGCGCCTGGGAGAAGCTCGGCCCCGCGGACCGCGTCGCCTGCGGCGACGCGACCTACATGGACAACTCGCTCGGGGTCCACTCGATCGCGAACCCGGACGAGTCGCGAATCGCGGTGAGCCTGCACGTCTACGCGCCGGCCTTCGAGGACTGCGCCATCTTCGGCGCCGGGGGCGAGGTGAAGCGCGGGTCCATGGTCGCCGCGCTCGCGCCGGAGAAGAAGGGGGTCTGGCGCGACGACCTCGCGGGCTTGCGGTACCGGTCCGGCGGGCTGTCGCTCCGGGCCTTCGGCGACACGCTCGAGCAGCTCGCCGTGCTCGACGACGCGAGCGCCACGGACGCCGTGGTGACGTCGTTGCTGAACCGCCTGGAGCTCACGCCCGAGGAGTGGACGGAGTTCGCGAGCGGGCCGTGCTTCTCGGAGTTCGATTACACGCGGCACCTCGCGCACGTGTCGGACAAGTTCTCCGTCGTCGTCTGCTGCTGGTGCGGCGGCCAGGCGAGCCTGCCGCACGTGCACGGCGCGGGGCGCAGCTCCTGGACGCGCGTGCTCCACGGGCGCCTCGCGCTGGATTTCCCGGAAGAAGGTTTGACGGACCGGGCCCTGTGGACGACGCCTCTAGAGGTCGGCGAGAGCGACGGCGCGGCCTTCACGGAGGAGGCCTGGATGCAGACGGCGCCGCGAGTGGTCCGGAACCCGTCGCCCGACAGCGTCGCCGTGTCGCTGCACGTGCTGTCGCCGCCGATGACCGCGCAGGCCTACGAGACCGGGTTGACGCGCGACGTCGTCGTCCACGCGTCGGCGCCGTCCGACGGCCTCGCCGCGGCCGTCGCGCGGGGCAACAACGTCTACACGAACATCCCCGGCCTCGTGAACCTCATCGAGCAGGAGTTCGCGGTTACCGATTCCAACGACCGCGTCGAGAGATTATCGTCTTTGCTCGACAACTGCCGGCTCAACGAGGCCGAGTGGCAGGGCTACGCGGCCTGGAACGCCGACACCTTCAGCCGCGTGCTCCTCGCGGAGAACGACGCCTTCAACCTCGTGCTCGTCGCGTGGGAGCGCGGCAACTACAGCCCCGTGCACGACCACGGCGGCTCCGCGCAGTGGACCAAGATCCTCCAGGGCTCCCTCGAGGAGGCGACCTACGCTCTCGGGGCCGACGGCGCCATGCACCTCGCGCGCACGGGGCCCATGGCCCAGGACAGCGTGACGTACGCGCACCCGGACACGATCCACGGCTGCGTCTGCGACGACCGATGCTTCTCGCTGACGCTGTACTCGCCGCCCTACACGACGGCCAACGCCTACTCGGACGCCGGCGACGTCGTCACCAAGGTCGAGATCCCGACGCACGTCCTCGGCGACCGCGCGGCCGACGAGGCGCCGCTCACGCGGCCCAAGGTGTCGCTCTCCGCGGACGGCGGCGGCCGGGACCCGCGCGCGACGTGGCGCGTCGGCGAGGGCCTCGGCGCCGAGGCCGAGGGGTAGTGGGCTAATGGGGCGGATCGGCGTCTTTTGCGGACGCGAGAAGTGACGCGGCGCTGGGCGCGTGCGTACGCGGTCGAGAGAGGCCTCGGCCCTCGAAAGGCATGTCCGCAGCTTGCTGTGCAACTTGCCGTTGCCCATCGGCTCGAAAGTTCGCGCTCTGGACCGTCTGCCGCGTGCGCGACACCATGAGCCTTGAGGAAACCGTGGTCAAGGCCGCCGAGGCGGCCGTCGACGCTGCGATCGAAGCGACCGCCTTGAGCGGTGACGCTTTCGGCGAGCGGCTCGAGGCCATGGCCGCGAAGCTCAGCGCTGCGGCGCGCGCCGGCGTGAAGAAGGCGCGTTCCAACCTGGAAAAAATGGAGGAGCCGGACGAGCGCGGCGAGGACGACGCGGACGCGCCGGACGGGCCCGGCGGCGGGAAGAAGAAGCCGCGGCGGCGCGGGGGCAAGAAGAAGAAGAAGGTCGCGGAAGCGAACGCGCCGCGCGATGAGGCCAAGGTGGGCGTCAAGAAGGAAGCAGAGCCAAGCCCAGGCAACTTTGTGAACTTTCACGTCAAAGACTGTCTCGGCAGGCTAACCACTTTCAAAATCGAGAACGCGACGAAGCTAGAAGCGGTCCTCGACACTTATAAGCGGTCCTCGACACTTCCTCTTCGGTATATCTTCAAAGGCAACCTGATCAGCCCGGACCAGACGCCGCAGGACATCGACATGGATGATGGCGACACTATCCATCTCGTGCCCAACCTGCGAGGCGACATTGGTATCTTTGGTGACCACGCCGGAAGCCCCGGCCTCGCCTTCCTCCAGCCCGGCGCGACGCTCGACAACGCGCCCGCCGCCGTCGTCCGGGAGATCGCGGCGCGCTGCCGCCGCGGCGGGTCCGAGGGCGCCGCGCCGTACTTCGCGTCCTTCCCGGCGGCGGGCCTGCTGTCCGCGGCGCAGCGCGCGGCCCTGCGCTCGGAGCTCGACCTCGGCGCCCGGGCCGCGGACGGCGTGCTCGACTTCAAGAAGCCGCTGACGCGCCGCGAGGCGTCGTCGCGCCTCGGAGCGAAGGTCTACGGCTCGCTCGAGGCGCTCTTCTCGTCGCACGGCGGCCGCGTCGACGAGATCGTGCTCCGCCGGTCCGCGGCCGTCGGCCAGTGCATCAACTTCCATACGGACGTCAACCACAAGACTCTCCAACTGTGCCTGAACGACGACTTCGACGGCGGCGACCTCGTCTTCGCGGCCGACGACAAGCTCGTGAAGCCGCGGCGCCCCGCCGGGAGCTTCACGGTCCACAACGACCGCATCGCCCACGGCGTCTCGACCCTCGAGCGCGGCGCGCGCTACGCGCTCTTCTTCCTCATGCGCGCGCCCGAGGCTACCAAGTAACGCTGCAAGTACGCGTCCACCGCACGGTGAGGCTACGGTGCACTGCAACAACCACTTCACCGGCAGTGCCCCGATCAAAACTCAGATTCTGATAGCCTGGATTTAAAAGTCAACATTTTTGTTGAACTTCAGCACTTTTGTTGAAGTTAAATCCTGCGATTTCCTGACCCGAACCAGCGACCGCGCGCAAAAAGTCATCGCAAACGTGCAATTAACGCGTGAGTATCATCGAGCTTGCTTTGATACGAGCATAACCCAATTTTGGCCGTGATTTCAGCCCGCGGACCTCCGCGACACCGCGCCCGCGCGCGCGGTCGACGTACAGCCTCTATGGACGACTAATGACTCTGGCTCCGCCGGCCGGAATTCGATGATTGATCTTTATTAATATTTCGTACGGGTGCACCTAGATGTACGTTGATCGGGGCACTGTTCACCGGAATCCTTGCGCTTGACCTCCGCGCGTCCAAGCCGCCGCCGTCGCCGTCGCGTGTTGCGCGCCCTGACGACGCGCGCAGCCCTCTGAAGACCTCGAAACCACTGCGCGGACACGCGCCGGTCGCTCGCCGTCAGCGCCCGACGTCGCCGCGCGCCCCGACGACGTCGAGGCCGCCGACGCACACCCCAGGCAGTTCGCGTACGATCCGCGGCGCCGCTCGCCGCCTCCGCGCACCATGGGCGAGAAGAAGCCCTGGGAGAACCCGAACGCGGACGCCATGGGCGGCTTCGCCGTCGTGAAGAAGGCGCGGGACCTCTTCGAGGGCACGCGGAAGAGTAGCATGCTCGCGCCGTGGCTCGGCTTCCTCATGCTGTCGACGCTCGTCTACCTCGTCTTCAGCGACGGCGACTTTAGCTTCCTCCTCACCTACGCGTCGCTGACGCGCTGCTTCGGCATCACGCTCCTCGTCGCGAAGATGCAGACGAGCCAGTCCGCCGCGGGGCTGTCGGCGAAGACGCTGCACTGCTACGCCGTCGTCTTCGCGTCCCGCCTCGTGTCCATCATGCGCCACGAGGGCTACCTGCCCTACGACCGCTCCGGCGACTGGATCTACCACTGCGTCGAGTTCGCGTCCTTCGGCGCGACGCTCGCCGCGCTCGGCCTCGTCCACGTCGTCCACGGGCGGTCCTACGAGGAGAACAACGACTCCTTCGGCGCGCTGCCGCCGTTGCCCGGGAGCCTGGGGGCGCTCGTCGTCATCCTGCCGACGCTGCTCTTCGCGGCCTGCTTCCACCCGGGCCTGAACAAGGACTTCATCAGCGACACGAGCTGGACCTACGCGATGTATCTGGAGTCGTTCGCGATCCTGCCCCAGCTCTTCCTCTTCCAGAAGCAGTCCAAGGCCAACGCGACCGTGGACTACCTCATCGGCCACTTCGTCGCGGCGCTGGGCTTCTCGCGCCTCGTCGAGATGGGCTTCTGGATGAACTCGTTCCACGAGCTCGCGGACCGCAACGGCAACCGCTACGTCGGCGTGTTGGTGCTCGCGACGCAGATGGTCCACCTCGTCATCATGGGCGACTTCTTCTACTTCTACCTCCGCTCCGTCGGCCGCGGCATGCCCATCCAGCTCCCGACGGCCGCGGGCATGGTCTAGCGACCGTCGCGTAAAAACAACCTTGCAAGAGGCCCACGCTTCTTTCCGAGTCTGTCGACGAGAAACTACTTAGCACGCCCGCGCGTCCCTCCCCTACGCCTTGACGGCCTCGAGCGCGAGGGAGAAGTAGAAGGACCGCGACGTGAGGTGGCTCCGCTTGACCTTGAAGCCGTTCTTCGCGAGGGCCGCGGTGACGTCCTCCTCCTTGTGGAGGTAGGCGCGCGTCGCCTTGGACGGGCCCGGGAAGAGGGAGCCGACCTTCTTGAGGAGCGCGAGCTGCGGGGTTTTCGGCGCGAACGACACGTAGATCGTGTCCGTGGAGAGCGACGCGAGCTTGTCGACGAGGCCCACCATCTTGTCCGTCGGGTAGTGGATCATGACGTCGATGCAGGACACCGTGTCGTAGGCGCCGTTCACGTTCTCCATGTCGCTCGTCTCGAAGCTCGCCGTCACGCCGGCCGCGGCCGCGCGCTCCGTCGCCTCGCTGACCATGGCCGCGGAGATGTCGCTCGCCTCGACCTTGGCGCCCTTCTTCGCCATGGGGATCGCCAGGTCGCCGCAGCCGCAGCCGAGGTCGCAGAGCGTCCGGCCCTCGGCGTCCGCCCACTCGAGCACCTTGGCGACCGTCTCCGCGTGGCCCTCGCGGATGTCGAGCTGCACGTTGTTCACGTCGTCGCTCTCGCTGTAGATCTTCTGCCAGCGCCCGAAGCCCGTCTCGCCGTTGAAGTACTTCTCGACCTCGGCCTTGTCGTCGATGACCCGGTTGTCCTCGGCGAGCAGCAGGCCCGCGCCGCCGGCGAGCACGCCGCCGGCGAGCACCGCGCCGATGGGGTCGACGTTGAGCTTCGTCGCATGGCGCGCCGACGGCTGCGGCGCGACGAGGGCGGACGCAACGGAGAGCGCCGCGACAGCGAAGAGCTTGGCCGCCATCGTGATTGATCGGCTGGGCGCAACTACAAGCTGAGCTGGATTCATGCAACTCCGTCGCCGGCGCCGCGGCGTTCGGCATGGCCGCATGCGCCTCCTCCGTAGTCGACGGCGCGCGAATTGCGAAGCTTACCGCGTTTTCCGCGCAGCAGTGCGAGAGTCCAGCGCCGCGCGCATTGTCGCGTCGACACACCCGCCGGCGCGCACAAAGGTCATGGGCAGCCATCGTCTCCACATCACAAGCTCGCGGCGTTGACGGCACGCTGCACAGCTCCCAGCCAAAGCGCGCGGCTCACGCGTTCGCGTCTCAAGACGCCTACTGCATGTTGCCGACACTTTGGTTTCAACCCACCTGGTGCCTGCACCAACGACATGGAGCAGGCTCCTGCAAAGCGCTCCGCGCCAGCGCCCGCGCGCGCGGCAGACACGCCGACGAGCGCGTCAAACACGCATGCGACCACGCCTCGCAACATCGACGGCCGCGTCTGGAGCCTGCGGCCATCCGAGAGCCTGGGCACGCTGCGCCAGGTGCCCGTGCTCTTCGCCGTGTTGGACTACCTCGACGGACGCGCCCTCGCGCGGCTCGAAATGACTTCCATTGCTCTCGAGCGCTCGGCCCGCGCCGCTGCGGCGCGGCGCGCGCGGATGCTCAATTACCCTCCCGCGGGGGGGGCTCAAACTCTCGCCGAGCAACCGCTTGACTGGGACCCGGAGGCGGTCGGCGCGTGGTACCTTAGAGCGGCGCCGCTGAAGCCCATGGGCGCGTGCTCCGCGTACATCTTCTTCTCGGTGGAACAGCGCCAATTAATGCCGGTCGACATGCCGATCGGTGAGCAGGCGCGACAGGCTTGCGAGATGTGGGGTCGTCTCTCCGAAGTGGCGAAGCTGCCCTACCAGAACATGGCGAACGATGAAAGGTCTCGCTGCCAGCGCGATATGGCACTGTACATCGAGCAACGGCGCCATGCAGGAGATTTCAAAACCTGGAGACACCGCATGCGCCCTGCGACCCTCATTTCGTACGCGTCAGTGAGGCTCGAAAAAGGACGTGCGTCTGTGAGCTTTCGGTGACCTTTCGGAATGCTTTGTAGAGCCCCCCGCGAAAGCCCCGCAAGCACGATAGGCGCTAAGTCTCCATCTCGCTTAAGACTCCGTCACGACCCCCGCCGCGAGCGCCGTGAGCTCCGCGGCCACCTTCGGGTCCGCGAGGGCCATGGTGATGGCGTGCATCTCGCGGTAGGACCGCTTCGCGGCGCGCGGCGCGCCCGGGTCCGTGACGTGGAACGCGTGGAATCGGTAGAGCGCGCACGCGACCGCGTTCGCGAGCATCAAGGCGACGAACGCGTCGGCCTCCGCGCGCGCGAACGCGCCGCGGCCCGCGGCGTAGGACCGCAGGAGCGCCGCGATGACGTCGAGCTTCGGCGCCGCGGGCTCGGGGAAGACGTCGTCGGCCGCGTCGTCGTCCGGGACGGCGAAGGCGCCGCCGACGGCGGCCGTCGCGACGTCGAAGGCCAGGGGCCCGACGGCCGCGTCCTCCCAGTCGACGAGCGCCGTCTTCCCCGACGCCGCGTCGTGCATGACGTTGTCCGTGTAGGCGTCGCCGTGGAGCAGGCCCCGCGGCAGCGCGGCGTCGACCAGAGCCGCGCGCGACTTCCGGAGCAGCCGCAACTCGTCGTTGTAGCAGGCCCACCTGACGAAGCCCGTGGGCTCCGTCTCGTCCCAGACCTCCGGGTGGGCCTCGAGGGGCGCCGCGCAGCGCACGTAGCGCTCGACGTAGTCGCCCTCGCCGACGTCGTAGAGGTCGGGAGGCGGGGGCACGCCGTGGACCTTTGCCATCGCGCCGCCGAGCGCCTCGAAGGCGGCGACCTCGGCGAGCGCGCCGTCGCGGATGAGGATGTTGCAGGCGTCACCGGGGAGCAGCTCCATGGCGATGGCCGCGGCCGGCGCGCCCGTCGTCGTCCGGCACGCGACGACGTTGAGCGACTTCGCCGCCGGCGCCGCGCCGCCGTGGAGCGCGACCTGCTTCAGCACGTCGAGCTGGCTCGTCGCGAGCTCCGTGGCGTCGTCGCCGACGCAGGCCTTGACGACGACCTCGCCGCCGCCGGCGAGGGCGACGCGGTAGTTGGCCGCGCAGCCGCCGTTCGTCAGCTTCTTGCAGGCCGCCGGCGCGCCGAGGCCCAGGGCCGCGACGACGCGGTCCACCTCCGCGCGGCTCAGCTCCGCGACGTCGACGGCGCTCTTGTCGAAGGTGGCCATCTTCTAGGTGCTGGCGGTGGCGCTCTCGGAGGAGGAGAGCAGCCTGATTTAGCGAGTGATGCTTGTGGCAGTGGCAGCTCGACGCATCGACGCGCGCCGCCCTCCGCACAACAACCGCGACACGCGCCTCCTGACTGACTGATGAATCGCGCCCTGCGGCTCGGCGCGTCCATGCCGGAGGCGCCCCGGTATGAACCCACGATTCGAACGAAAGCGCCGCCGCCGCCCATGGGCCTCTTCGCGGCGGCCATGACGAGCATCGCCGACGCCGTCGACGCCGTGCTCGCGCCCCTCGCGGCGGAGCCCGCGAAGCGGCGCGACTCCATGGACGGCCCGCTCGAGGACGACCAGGGCCGGTCGACGGCCGGGTCCGTGCTCTCGCTGCTCTTACTCTACGCGTCCGCGCTCTGGGCGGCGCTCGGCCATTTGTCGCTCGCGGCGCGATGGCTCGCGAACCTCCGGACGGAGTACGGCCGCGAGGTCGTCAAGTGGTTCGCGACGCGGTCGCCCGCGCCCTTGCTGGCAATCGTCGTCTGCGGCTACCTGTGCCGCGCGCACCTCCAGACGGCTCTCGTCGCGTGGATCCGCGACCACCGCGGCTTCGCCGTCGACTTCGCCGTCGACCGCTGGAGCGGCGACGCGCTCGGCGTCGAGGTCGTCGCGAGCGACGTGGCGTGCCGGGACGCGTCGCGGCCCGAGACCTGCCTCGAGGCCCGCGCCTGCGACGTCGCGCTGGGCGTCGAGCGCGAGCCGCGGACCAAACGGCTCGTCGTCGCGCTCCGCGTCGTCGTCCGCGGCGCGGAAATCGAAACTTCAACCCGACTTCAATGTGCGCGTACCCGAGCTCACTGGTTGATTTCCACACAGGTCGTCCGCGGCGCGGCGCTCCGCTACGTGGGCTACGACGGCAGCGACGGCGACTCGAGCGTGCGCCGGGCTCTGGCGCGGCTCGCGCGGAGCGGCCGGCCGCCGCCCTGGGTCCTGCGGGTCCCCTACGCGCTCCTGCGGGCGGGGAACCGCGTCGTCGCGACGGTGGCCTTCGAGGACGGCGTCGCCTTCGACTGCTGCCGCGCGCGGACGCGGCAGGACCCGGCGCGCCAGGTCTTCGCCTGCGTTTCGCCGCGGCTGCCGCGCGTCGTCGACGCGACGACCGCGCGGGGCCTCCACGTGCTCCACGCGCTCCTGCTCCGCGAGATCCGCGAGGGCGCCCCGGCGAAGACCGGCGGCGGCGTCCGGGGCGTCGTCCTCGCGGAGCTTCTGGGCAACGTCGACGCGGAGCTCGCGCGGTGCTACGAGACCGTCGCGGCCCTCGACGCGAAGCTGAGCCCGCGGTCGCGGTCGCTCGCGGAGCTCGGCCCGGACGACGGCGCCGCGTCCTCGGACGAGGACCTCGCGACGCCGGTCAAGGCGCCGCCGCCCGCCAAGGCGAAGACGCCCAGGGCCGTCCGGCTCTGGAACTCCCTACTCGGCGGCTTCGTCGGCCGGCCCGCGCCGCGCGCGTCGCCGCGCGGGCCCGCGCCGATCCGCCTCGGCCCGCCGTCGACGCCCGCGGGCGCGCGCGGCTAGCTCGGGAGGCCCGTTTAGCAGCAGCTGAGCGTCCGGCCGCCCATCTGTCCGTTCTCCGTCGGCGCGTAGAGCTGGCCGGCGACCTTGAGGTCGTGGCCCGCCGTCGCGCAGAGGACGCAGGGGTTGCACCAGTAGGCGCAGCAGCACTCGGCGAGGCTGCCGTCGTCCGGGATCTGGTCGCGCTCGCGGATGCGCGCGCGGATCTTCAGCAGGTAGTGCGCGTAGATGGCCCAGACCAGGAGGTCGATGGCGAGCTCGAGCGAGTAGAAGGGCGCGAGGCCCAGGGGGCCGATGGCCATCTTGACGATCTCGCCGAGCACGAACGCGCCGAAGAGCCTACGACGGCGGTGTCCCCGCGAAACATCTCTCGAACACCCTTCTCCGCGCCGCGACGCGCCACCAGAACGTGCCGCGGTACGAGCCCTTGCGGACGACGCGCTCGCTGAGCTGGCCGATGACGACGCACGGCAGACAGCACGCGCACCACCAGAGCTGGCAGGACGCCTTGTGCTCGGGCGGGCCGCAGCAGCTGAAGCCGTCGCAGAGGGGCTCGAAGGTCGAGACGATCCAGCGGCCGGGGGCCGGCCGCGGGGCCGCCGCGGCCGCGACGACGAAGCCGCCGGGCGGCGCGCCCGGGGGCTGCCCGACGATCTGCGCCGTCACGGGCACGGGCTGGGCGGCGACGACGATGGGCTGCGACGGCGGCACGACCGTCGCGTGGACCGTGGGCAGCTCCGTGGCCGCGGCCTGCATCTCCACATCCTGGTAGCGCACCTTCTCCATCGGTGCTTTCGAATGCTAATGCTCCCAGATTCTCAGCAGTGAGCTGCAAGTCTGAGGCAACTTGAACTCGCATGAAAACGGTGCAGTCGGCTCGAGATCACCTGAGAAGCCACCGTCGTCGCCGTCGCCGTCCGCTGCATACACAGCGATGGACGCCGTCTCCACGGCGCCGTGGTGGCTGCAGGCCAGCGTCGCCGCCGCCGTCTTCGCCTACCTGCCGTCGTACTGGTCCTTCAAGGAGCTCGCGCCCGGCGGCGACTGCCGGCGCGGCTTCCAGTGCTGGGCCGGCTGGCGCGCCGTCGCGTCGTTCCTCTTCGGCGAGGTGAGGCTCGTCGTCGAGGCGCCGGAGAAATTGAAAGCCTGCCCGCAGGGCATCCTCGCCGTCGCGCCGCACGGCGTCGTCAGCTTCAACCACGCGCTCTACATGACGGACTGCGCGGGCTGGTTCGGCGACGGCGTCTGGCCGGTCGACCGGCGGGATCTGGCCGCGTCCTTCGTCTTCAAGGTGCCGCTCTACCGCGAGTTCCTGCTCTTCCTCGGCAACGTCGACGCGTCGCGGCGCGTCGCGCGGCGCGTGCTCGGCTCCGGGCGGTCGCTCTTCGTCTACCCCGGCGGCGAGGCCGAGCAGATGCGCGCGGCGCCGGGGCGGCACATCGCCTACTGGAAGACGCGCAAGGGCTTCGTGCGCCTCGCCGTCGAGGCGGGCGTCCCAATCATTCCGTCCTACGCGTTCGGCGAGAACGAGCTCTACGCGCCGTTGCCGCTGGCGACGGGGCTCCGCCTCTGGATCTGCCGGAAATTCCGCGTGGCCCTGCCCCTCGGCGTCGGCCGCTGGTGGTGCCCGCTCCTGCCGCGGAAGCGGCCGCTCGTCGGCGTCGTCGGCCCGCCGATCCCCGTGCCCTGCGTCGACGCCGCGGACACGCAGAAGTTCGACGAGACCGTCGACGAGGTCCACGCGAAGGTCTGCGCGGCCGTCGTCGCGCTCTTTGACCGCCACAAGAACAAATATACGCACAAAGATGCGACCCTGGAGATCATCTAAGACTCTCAAGACGTTGTTACTACTCTTTCTCTCTCGGGGGGGTGGCTACTCTCTCGGGAGGGTGGTGGTGGCGCGCGCGGGAGGGTGGTGGCTGCTCTCTCGGGGCTGGTGCCCATCTAGAAGTGGTTGGTCTTGAACTTCCAGACGCGGGCGGCGACGTCGTAGTCGACGAGCGCCGCGCCCATCTTCTTCGTCGCCTTCTCGACGCGCTTGCGCCACTTGGAGCGGTCGTCGTCGGACGCGAGGTCCGGCCTAGCCGGTCCCACATTGTGCAGAGTCACGACGGCCGCGCGGTTGAGCTTGGAGCCGACGGGCGGCTTCGAGAGCGCGTCGCCGTCGTCGTAGACCTCGACCTCCGGCGGGCCGTCGCGCTCGCAGATGCGCACGTCGCGGTCCAGGTCGACGCCGCGGACGTCGACGCGGCCGAGCCACTCGACGCGGCCGTAGTCGGGCCGCTCGACCGCGAAGCCGTGGACGGCGGCGAGCTCGTCGTCGGACATCTTCTCGAGCGTCGCCATGGACGGCTCCGTGACGAAGCCGACCTTGACGAGCTTGGGCGCGTTCGGGTTCACGTCGTCGTCGTCGAGCGGGTCGCCGGCCTCGCGCGAGGGCTCGCGCGCGGCCTCGTCGCCCGGCGGCTTGTCCGACAGGGCGATGCCGCCCCCCGGGCTCCTCCCGTTCTCCGCGAAGACGCGGTCGAGCTGCTGCGACGGCGTCGACGACGCGCGCGACGACTCGCCGAACGCGGACACGAAGCGGTTCGGCCCCGGCGTGTCGTCCATGGACCGGCGCGACGCCGTGGGCGGCGGGCGCAGCGATACGGACGTCGGCGCCGCCGACGTCGAGCTCCGCGCGGACGCCGGCGGCGGCCCGCCGTTGGGCGACAGCGCCAGCAGCGTCGGCGGCGCGGCTAAACCGGAAACCGGCGGCGGCGGCGGGCCGAGGAGCGCGGGCGCGGGCGCGGGCGCGGCCTCGATGGCCGGGTGGCTCGAGGGCGCGTCGCCCCCGAAGGGCCGCGACGTGCGGCGCCCGGGCGTCGACCGCGCCTCCGGGTCGATGACGAGGCGCCGGTGGCTCAGGCTCAAGAACGCCGACGGCGACGGCGCGGCGTCCTTGGACGGCGTCGCGAGCGACGGCCGCGCCGCGCGGCTCGGCGTGTGGTCGCCGCGCGGCGCGACCCGGGCGCCCCCGAGGCCCAGGGACCCGCCGAAGCTCAGCGCGCGGCGGCCGCCCGGCGCGTCGAGGCCGAGGCCCGTCGCCGCGCGCCGCGTGTCCGCCATGAGCGCCGCGCGGTCCGCCGTCCGCTCCTCGAGCCCCGCCGCGGCCGTCTCCGACACGCCGACGACGTCCTTGAGCCGCGCCTCGAGCGCCGCGCCGCGCCGCTCGAGCGCCGCGAAGCCGCGCTCGACGGCGCCGAGGCCGCTGTTCGACAGGCCCGCGCCGTAGGGGTCCGTCTTGAGGCTCAGCGCCGCCGGCGACGCCTGGGGCGGCGCCGCGAGGCCCCCCAGACCGCCGCCGAGGGGCGACGCCGCGGCCGCGGCGCCGAAGAGGCCCGGCGACGCGCCGAACGTCGACGCGCCGGGCGCCGGGCTCGCGGCGCCGAAGAGGCCGCCGGCGGCGCCGAGCGCGGGCGCGGCGCCGAGCGCGGGCGCGCCGAAGCCCGTGGCCGCGGGCGTCGGGGTCGGCGCGCCGGAG